GGCTTCAGTTTCATGAAATTCATAACAATGCACTAACTCAAGTACTTTTGACTCTTTCACACTTTTGTGAGGAAAGATATAAAAATATATATAGAACTGCTGTGAAAAGAATTTGCCTTTAATCTTAAGACGTGTAAGTAGTCCTGGCAAAACGAAATTGTAGGCAATTCCTTTGTTTATCAGTAATTTTGCTCACATGAGTCCAATTGCAAGGCTCCTGTAGACTCGCTTGTGCAATGAATTAAACATGGATTTGTGTTTACCAGATTGGAGGCAATTATTGAGAGATACAAGAAGGAAGAGATAGTAGAGAGCTTTACCTTGGTCACACCTGTTTGTAAGGTAAATATGGGTTGTTGTGTTTAAGGTAAGGGTGGATTGTTGTGTTTAAGGTAAAGGTGGGTTATTGTGTTTAAGATATCAGGGTGGGTTATTGTGTTTAAGGTAAAATTAGGTTATAATATAAGAATCAGTTAAATTTGCTTCAGAAAGAATCTGATCAGTTTTAAGCAAAGAGATTTTTTTTCTTTACAAAATGTGAACAGCTGTTTTTTTGGAGTGATTGAATTGGAATAAGCCCATTTTGACTGTATGATAAATGATGATGATCTGCTGTGTTTGAAGGGGTCAGCCGAACACTTGTATGACTCCATCAGACAAAGCTCCCGAGGACCCATCACAGGACGGGGGCAGAAATTGGATATGCAGGGCTACCTCTTCATTAAAAAGAGTAGGTATCAAGGACAGATCTAGGTAGACTTCTGTGAATCACTTCATTTTTGTGTGAGATTGATATATTATTAATTTGCCAAAGACTTATCTACATATTTAAATCTTCCATGAATATTTATTTTGTAAATATTTTTTTTTAAATCACAAATTTAAATCTTTTGCAAATGTTTATTCCATGAATAATGGGAAAAAATGCTAATTAGAGCATTCACAAACAAAAAATTACAGGCATATTTTGTGAAAAAAAATATATGCAAATATAACATGATTTTTGTCTTCTCCAAAACCTTTGCATCAATATCTATCATACTTGGCAGGGATCATCTGTGGGGGATGGGAATCAGAACTAGAATAGAAAACGAGGTGACTTATTAAGGCTCATGGTCTGATTACAGAGCTTACTATGCTAGCAATATTTTACTGACAACACTTGTCAAACTAAATAACATTTGGTACATCATATTCTGCTCATACGTTCCCTATACGATTACTTACAGGTCAAAAGGTGAAGAAATGGAAAAGCATGTTCTTCGTGTTACTTGGGCATGATCGACAGCTCTGCTTCATGGAAAATGAAAAGGTAGGTACAGTTTATGTATTATGACAGGAAATGAAATACTTTATAGAGAATAAGGTACAGTGAAAGAGTTTCTTTACTACTTGTATTTTGTATGACATGAGCGAAATAATTCATGAAGAATGAAAAGGTTCTTGTATTAATTTTGACAAGAATGAAATAATAAATATGCTTTGTTGTAAAACAATGCTTCTTCCGTAAAATAAAAACACCACTGATCTTCGAAAAAAGTTTCATTTTATTTTTATTTTTAGGTCACCTGAGCTTTAGCTCAAGTGACCTATTG